TTCACACCAAAGCGATTGCCCATAACGAAACAAATTTGAATGGTCTCTAATATAGTATCAAAACATTAGGTAAATTACTGAGGTTTAGGTAATGTCTGTAGTTTACTAACCTAGAATGACCTGCAGTATATCCAGGAGATTCATTGATGGTAAATGTGTGTCACTAAAGACAATTTGAATACAACGGTAGGAACTGTAAGAGATTGATCTTTTTGAAGCACCACTTAACAGAGATGAAACGTAGGAGTCGACAATAGCGAACAAATAATCATTTCTGACATCTGTTTTTAATCATTTTATTCTGTGACAAATTTCAGCAACCGGACGTGTTACGCTACTGCCGTGTCCGAATTTTGCGCTCAGCGGTCTTGCCTAATCGTTAGTCTAGTAATAATAGTGCACAAGATGCTGATCCAGGTTTAAGAAACGACAAATATTAGAGATGATGGAATTATTGCAAATCACATAAAGCGTTGGGGTATTTATAACTTCTATTTTAAATATAATTATGTGGTGCGTATATGATGTTCAACAAAAGGAAATGCTTAGTTAAAAACAGTCTAGTTAGCCTATTTGGTACTGTTTGATGCTGTATTTAGCCCTAAAGCAGATAATAAATCTGCTTTTGATGAATATTTTCAGAAGTCATCAATCTCACATTTTTTAGTGTTTTATGAACGCTGTTTCTTTTTCCCGCCCTTCTCACATAACTAATACTGTGGAAGCAGTTTATTCATAAACAGAACATAAACGGTATTACTAGTAACTGACATAAAAGTAAGGGATGAGTGAGTAGTGAAAATTGTGTATTATTGAGCATATTTCTTAATGAAACTGCATTCTATGAGTAAAAATGCCACTCTAAATATCATCATTACCAAGAGATCCGAGAAAATATATCTTATTAATTTGAAAATCATTGGAAAAATTTCATTTTATGCTTTTATTTACAAATTAAATGGTAGAAACTACTTTGTCGCCTTAAGTAATTGCAAACATTCATGAGAAATAAACGGAGAATTTCACTGGAAATCATAATGATCAAGGAAGGTTTTCTCATCGATTAGCCGTAATTAAAATGTTCACCGACGGTGAGTTAATAGTCAGTAATAAAAATTGTGTAGACTCAAAAGAATAAGTTAACAAATGAGCAATAAAACCTAAAATATTTTTCCTAAATGTCATTTTTTCTCTTTGGTCGCACTTTTTGTCATGAATCTCAGCAACTAGAAAAAACGAATTGAATCATATGATCAGAGGAAACCTTAGGCACTTCGATAGGATGTAATTCCATTTCA